GAGCGTCGTCTTAGATGATTTGGTCACATTAAACGTTAACTATTTGATGATTTGGTTAGGAGAGTAGATGTTTTAGATTCGATTTATGCTAAGAAAGGTAGAGGTAAACCTAAGACTTGGATATGTTGTATAAAAAATAATCGTTAATTATTAGAATTATATGAAAATATGACACTCAATAATACTGAATGGAGAAAAAGAATTCATGTAGCTGGCTTTACTTAATGGGATAAAGGGTCGTTGTTGTTGGTGTTGTTCCCAATTTTGCCTTTCCGTCGATCACCAATTTGATGGATTGAACCCACTCGAGATAGTTGTGCCCATTAAGTTTAATAATCATGAGATAAGGTGCTATATTCTGAGTAGTAATCAACAAATGCGGGTATGAGAGGGGTTGTAGGGTGAGACGAAGTGGTTTCAGAATTATTGGAGCCAGTAGATGTGGCCTAATTTCTTTGGACTCTGGTTATCATTACTGACTTATACGATGCCATGAGAGAACGTGTCGTGAGTTCGGATGGCTATGAAGAAGAAACAATGATCACGAAAAAGAAACAACTACAAGTGGCTTTGACTACTGGGTTCCGTTGGAGCGAAGAAAGCGGCTTCGACTATGAAGTATAAACCAACAACTTTGAAGTAGAAGACAACATCTTCGAAGGAGCTGCACGACCAACAACTTCTTTCGTGAGTTCCTTTGCGATGGAAAATCAGATGATGCTTCAGATGATGCTTTTACGGAAGGTGAAGGCGCTAGCGACTTCGAAGGAGAAGGTGACATCTTTGAATGAGAAGTGAGAAGGTGCAAGAGAGGTAATGGAGAATGATTATAAATTAAATAAAGGATGACTTCCATATTAAGAAAATGATAATATCGGCCATACTCCCCATAATAAAAGAAAGAATCAAGAATTATGGCATATCAATAATCTCAATTGTAAAAATAGAAAATACTAATAATAGAAGATACTAAAAATAAAATCTTCCTAAAAATCCAACAAGGATCGTCTCAGATGAGTATATGAAATGCTAAGTAGTTTATTTTCTTTATTGATGGTCACAGTAGAACCATTTTGACCTTTCTAATGAATTTGAAACTAGTTCTATTTTTTAGAAAAATTCTCCTTTATATGAACTCAATTTAAAACCCAAATTCAAATCTTTAGGACTAATAATTTTTTTTTTCATTCCATTTTTAAAGAATATATCCTCCAATGAGGAATTTTCACTTAAGTTCTTATATCTATACTGTTCCATAAAATGGGATAGCATAAAAGAAAATCAAATTACTTCTAGAGTCTTGGTTGATCAATTTGATCCGAAACTGGATTGGGGGGTAGCTTTCCTTACCGTGGTATATCTCATTAATCAAATGCCTTCAAGAATTTTAAAATTCAAAGTTATTACCAAACTCTCACCTATGTTTATCCCACAAGTTGACCTATCTACACTATTTTTTATAAGGTATTCGGCTACTCTGCTTTTGTGCATATCCCTTGTGATCAAAGAAACAAAATAGACCTAAAGGTCATCAACGGCACTTTTATTGGCAACTATTCTCACCAACAAGGATACAAATAATCTTCTTCCTATACTTAAAAATGTTATATCACCATGGATTTCATTGTCTTATAAACTAAGTAATTCTTCCACAAAACTCAAGTTGATTGATTTTGAGGATGATCTAAGCATTGCCATTGCCTCTCTTAAGGAAAGCATAAAAATTCTTTCAATCACTATAACATTCATTCTATGTTTTATTACAAATTGTCTTTCAAACCCTATCTGTTTACTAGAAGTCTTTCTAGCATGGAAATTTTTGACTATATTCTAGTAGACTTAAGAGTGCGTACATGGAAAAATGCAATTCATCAAGAAGTTCTGGCTCTTTTTCTTGAAGGGAAGAAACTAGTTGGATGCAAATGGATATTTTAAGTGAAATTCAAAACTGATGGATATTTTGACCAATACAAAATAATATTTGTTACAAAATATTTCACTTAAATCTATGGAATTGGTTTTCAAGAAATAATTTTGCCAATTATTTAGATTATTACTATTAGGATAATTTACTCTCTTGCTTCTGTTTTTGAGTGATCACTCCATTAATTAGATGTAGAAATGCTTATCTAAATAAGGATTTAGAAGATGAAGTCTATTTAATTTTCATTCTTGATTTGAGAATATGACTAATATGAACAAGTCTGCATGCTCCAGAAAACTCTATATGGTTTAAAATAATCAATCACCAAGAGCTTAATTTGATATATTCAGCATTGTGATTAGAAGGTATTAAGAACAATCTGATCACACTTTTTAAATCAATAAGTTATCTCAATGTAAAATTTTAACCTTGATTGTATATGTTCATAATATCATTTTGTTAGTAAATGATGAAGAAGACATTCTAGTTAAAAAAAATTCGAAATCAAAGATCTTGATTTATTCTAATACTTCTTAGGAATGAACATAACATGATAAAGCAAGGGAATATCCATCTCTCAATAGAAATACATCTTGAATATTCTAAAGGAAATTGATATATTAATGTGGAAGCTTGCAAATACACAAATGGATCTATTAAACAAAGTTAGGTTTAATGAATATACCATGATTAACAAAGGTGGTACTTACAGTTAGTAGGGAAATTTATCTGCTAATCACACACTATACCAGATATTTGCTTTCTTGCCAAAGTTGTTAGTCAATTTATGAATAGCCTCACAAGAAATGCCATGTTGATATATACATGATACTAATATATTTTTTAAAAATTTACCTGGAAAATATTTGCTTTTCTAAAAGGGGACTATCAAAAGTTTTAAAATCCTTACTGATGCTGATTGAGTTGGATTTGTAACATATCACAAAATTACATCCAATGATTAGTTTATGTGTAAATTTAGTTCATTGGAGAAGCAAAAATAATTGATTGTAGCTCGGAACAAATTTAGGTTCATGACCTATGATAATGAGACGTGACAATCAAATTACCGTTATATTGCTAATAATCTTCTCTTCAATGATGGAACTATACATTTCAAGATTGATAGTTTATAATGGAGAAAATTAATCAATAGATCCTTGTTGATTACAGTTAAACAAAACATTGAAGTGCGACATCCTTATAAAAGGTTTTAACGACACACAAATTCATCTTAATCGCAAATTATGCATGATTAACATGAACTCTCAATTTAGGGGAGAGAGGAACTTTTAAATTAAGGCCATTAAATTTAGCTGAAAGAATCCATCAGACATTAGCCTGCGGCCAACTTGCAGCTAGTGGTGTAAGCGAGTAAAGTCAAGCTCGAGTGACCCTCGGCTTGGGCTTGAGTTTAATTATTTAATTGAATTTAATCTTGAGCTTGAACTTAATTCTACGAGTTTGAGTCGGGTTTTGTTTATTATAGAAGAGAGAAAATTATTTTAATTCAATTTAGTGTTATAATAAAATGACAAATATAATGAGCAATTATGAGATTACTCATAAGAAATCATTTGATATAAAATATAAATATCTTTTTTAAATATATCTAAAAAATTAAATATAAATCCTTGAATTTTAATATATTTTGAGTATTTTTTTTATTAATAATATTTTAAATGAGTCGGCTGATGAGTTAACAAGTGGAGTTAGGGTTGGCTTTAGCTTGGCTTATTAACTCATCGAGTTCAGCTCACAAGCTACTTATCGAGGTAGGTCCGAGCTGGTTCATGAGTCGGCTTGACTTTGTTACACCCCTAATTGCAACAACATCCCTCCCTTTTGCGCCGCTTGCCCTCCAGTCCAGCTCTCCATCATGCTGCAGGCTCCAGCATACTGTTTACGACCCTTGTTCTCCTCCCAGCTCACTCCCAAGGCTGTTGTTCAGGGGCCCTTGATTCCTAATGAGGACGAGATTATTTTTCCGCATTATTATCATGTTTTATTTAAATAGATGTGACAAATTTCTTATTTATTTTTCTCTCTTTAGGTGAGCTAAAGTCTTATATACTTACCTTATTGTTTCTCTATTTCAGGAGGACTTACATCTGTTATAAAATATGTGCTCTTCCCACTTAAAAATTTTAAAAAATATTATTCTTCTCCGATATTTGTCAACAGTCTTCTACAAACACGCAGCCTTCTTTTTCTTACTTCTCATGTTTCCTAATTAGCCATCTGTTTTCAAGTACAGGCAGCAAAGTCGAAGCTGCACGGCTAATTGCTGTTTAGATTTTTTCTGCAACAATTTTACAAACAAAAATGTTTCACATTTCTTCAGATGATGGCACTGTATATAGTTCTGGAGACAACACATTCGGGCAGTTAGGAAGAGAAACAGAATCATCAAAATTGCTTCCTGTCCAGATCAACTTCCATCCTATTTCTCTTTCAGCTGGGCTTGGCCACTCTCTTCTGCTGTACCACCTACCTTCCAATGGAGCTGCTCATGAAGCCACAGGGATTCTTTCATGGGGATGGAACGGAAGCTCGCAGCTTGGCCGCCATGGACAGGAAAAGGTTCCTTCTCCTGTTGAAGGACTTGAGGGACGAAGAGTGGTTTCAGTTTCAGCAGGGCGAGTTCATTCAATAAGTCTGACATCAAAGGGAGAAGTTTTGACGTGGGGTTCAGGAAGAAATGGTAGGCTGGGATTGGGGAGCTCTGCGGATGAAGCTGAGCCCACTTTTGTTGAGTGCTTGGAAGGTGTTGAAGTCCTGCAGGCTGTAGCTGGCCTTGACCATAATTTGCTTCTTGTTGCTGAGTAGCCTTGAAGCCAGCAGAATTGCTTTGAGCGAGAGTTATTTTTCTCCTGCAAACAACTCATTCTCTACTCAAAAGAAGAAAAGGCCGTTAAGGTAAGTTTTTTATTCAATATGATCATTATGTTTTTATAAAGTGAATAAATAAAATTTAATATTTATTTATAGGGGTATTTGCATACACACCACACAATTCTTATGTATTTACATATCTAGAACCTAAGGTCCCAAACTTCCATATTTATATTTATAAAACTGAAAATTTTAACATTATATAAAAAAAATGCCACCTTTATTAATATTTCAAAAGTGAAATAGAGCTTTTCATGCATAGGTTCATGACACCAAAATGCTACAAGTGTAAATATTAAATTTTAGCTGTTAGATGTGTAAATACATAAGGATAACATGCTATTTAAATTTAAGTATTTAAATAATCAATATTTATACATGAAAATATTTATTTCACTTTAATAATATTTGTGGTTTTTTTTTATAATTTAGTGTTAGAGATTAAACTAAATATTAAAATTTAGGTATTTGATTTGTCAACAAGTCTCAAAATATTTACCGACTATTTACATGGGACGGTTGAGTATCAGAGTTTATAGAAGTGTCAAAATAGTCCCCGATCATTTTAAAATTGATCTCTAATAGTCCTTCACGAGGATTATTTAAACCATAATTTAAAGAGCACGGGTCTAATTCAACACTTCTATAAACTCTGGGATTGAATCTGCTCCATGTAATTAGTTGGAGATTATTTTGGCATGAATCATTTGTGAATATATAAGAAATATAGGTTATGCATTGAAATTCCTCCCTTATTTCTTTTATATAATTCTAAATATATGATTTAATTTGAAAAAAAAAAAATAGGGTGAGGATATCCTGCCCTATTTTCATAAAAATATTAAAAATTTAAATCAACATCTTAATGATATTTATTAGTTTGTTATATATTTTTATAGTGACTATATTAAATATTTTTTAATTTCTCTACAAATTGTAATGCAGTAGAAATATCATGTGTTGAAGTGTTGAACTTGTCCTGATCAAAGTCAAGTCTGATGTCCTGACCTTTATTTTTTTCAAAATTTTTGATATGTTCCTAAAATCTTTTGATATTATTGGTATTCCACTTCTATATCTTATTAGCATACCACTCAATTCTTATGTACTTATGCATCTAAGGCCTAAATTTTTTTTTTTTACATTTATACCAATCAAATATTTCATAACATAAAAAAAAATATCAATATTTCAACTTTTACAAGTTGATTTACAACTTTTCGTGCATAGATAAAGTGGCATGCATGTAAATATTGAACTTTAGGCATCAGATATATCTAATCGAGTGATATGTGTGTAAATCTTCCTTATTGTTATATTGTAGATAAAACTAACTCGGGGTATGAACTTTAGGTGTTTCGTGGCGCCTTCTAATAAAATTTATCACCGGATTTATTAAATCCAATAAAATACTAAATTACAAAAGTTCTATGTATTTATGATTATTTGAATTTACTCTCAAATTTTATCTTTGATTCGGTTTAAATTTTAATTTACTAAATCCAAAAGTAACGTGAATTTTACGGATTTATAATTTATGAATTCGTAAAACATACTTGGAGCCAAACACCTTTTAATTTGAAGCACCCACCCTCCGAGCTTGATGTGTACTATGTAAGATTTAAAGAAAAATTATTGCATCATGAGTCTTGATATAGTTTTGCATCAGAACTTTAATCAGGAATTGTCATGTGTACAGACAAGCGTACCCATATATTAAATTAATTTTTCTTATTACTAAGGTGGGTCTGTCTGGATACGTGGCAGGCTCCGATTGGAGTCCTGATGTAAAATTGCATTAAGACTCATGATGCAATAATATATTGTAAGACAGTTTATTAATTTTATAATTTGTTTGTCTATACTACTTACGCAAACCTATTTTTTGACGTAACTCCATCTTTTCACCATTTCGAGCGCCATTTGCTTGGAAAAATATTACATCAGTACTAACGACGCAGTAACACGGGGAATATTCCCCCCTGTGTTATTCATGTGTTATTAATGTGTTATTATGTTATTATAACGCCAAGATTATTCTCAGGACACAATAACACATAAATAACACAATAACACCAGAATAACATGGGGAATTATTCCCGACAGAGAAAAAAACAACGCGGTTAGACGGGGAATATCCCCCCTTCCCCGTGTTATTCATGTGTTATTGTGTTATTATAACACTAAGAATATTCTCAGGACACAATAACACATGAATAACAAGGAGGAATATTTCCCGTGTTACTGTGCCGTTTTTTTTTTCCCGTTTTTTTTTTCGTGCCGTTTTTTTTTTCCTATCGCGCGGGGTGTCGTGGCGTGATTTCATTGGCTACGCACGTTACTCTACGTGCATAGTACTGATGTAATATTTTTCCCATTTGCTTCTGGCTTTTTTCAAGAGAGGTTGTAGTTTGCAGAAATTAGCATGTCCTCTTTCATTTGCCTCCGCCCCTCTTCCGTTTTTTCGTAAGAAATGACATAAGAAAGTTGCCATTTTATAAAAGATTGGAAATTGTGATTATAATTTTAAAAAAAAAATTAGTATTTACATACATAGCACACAATTCTTATGTATTTTCATATCTCACACCCAAACTTTCATATTTGCACACATAACACTCAAATATTTAATATCACATCAAAAATGATAATATTATTATTTTTTCATGCATAGGTTCATAGAACCAGAGTGCTATGCATGTAAATATACTAGTTTAGGTGTGAGGTATGTAAATACATAAGAATTGTGTTCTACATATTTGAGTTTCATATTTTAGTGGTATTTACATATATGCCACCTAATTCCTATGTATTTACATATCTAACATCTGAACTTTTTTCTTTTTTACATTTATACTGCCCAACATCCTTCATATCACATAAAAAATACCATCCCTTTAACTTTAAGAAAATGAAATACACATTTTCTTGCACAGGTAAGACAATATGTAAAATTGAAGATTATTTAGATGCATAAATACATAGCAATTGTGTAGAATGCATGCCCATCATTCCTTTGTTTCTTCATGTCTCTCAGTTGGGATTTTGATCAAGCCTGTTGAAACATCATTTTTGCTATTTTGCATCAGCAAAATTTTCATAAGAGACTTGATGAATGTGAAGAAAAATAAGCTAAAGTTGGGAGGATGAGAAGCTATTTCAATACAACACCTAACTTGGTTCGTTGTAAAATAAGTATTAATAAATCATATTAAACAACTAAATAGTTCTCTAAATTAGACTACAAATCAGGATTTTGGCAAGTTATGATGCACCCAAATAGTAGAGAATTTACCGTCTTTAGTACTCTACAAGGTCATTAACGAACGCTCCACAAATATGTCAAAGATTAATAGACACTATCTTTAATGAATTATCACATTTTTGTCTTCTTTATGCTGATAATATTCTAATATTTAGTCAAATTATTATCAAACACCTAAAACATTTAGCTTTATTTTCTCGAAAAGCTAAAAAACACGGGGCTGTCTTGAGCAAAAAGAAAGCAGTTTTTGTAATTAATACTATTGAATTTTTAAAACTTATTATTGATAATAGTGCAATAAAATTACAAGAACATGTTCTAATAAAAATTGATTATTTTAAACAAATTAATTATCAAAAAAATCTACAACACTTTTTAGGATGTATCAATTATGTAGAAGCATTTATACAAAATATTGCTGAATTAAGAGTTCAGTTACAAAAGAAGCTATGAAAAAATATAATTTGGACTTGGGCTTATAAAGATCAAAACATTTTACAACAGATTAAAGATCTATGTAAAAATCTTCTAAAATTATATTTACCTATACCTGAGGGCCATTTAATTATAGAAACTGATAGTTCCGAATTAGTTTGGGGAGCAATCTTAAAAGCTTGACGTAATGATATTGAACTTTTATGCAGATACAGCTCAGGTACCTACCAAAAAAAATTATCATATTAATGAGAATGAGCTATTAGCAATAAAAAAAATCAATTAAGAAATTTGAAATATTTTTGAATGAGATATTTTTTATTAGAACAGATAATAAAACTGTCATTTCATTTATTAAATGAAAAATCGTACATTTTTTGCCTAACAAAAGACTAATAAGATGACAAAGCTGGTTCTCTTCTTATACTTTTGATATGGAATATATCGAAGGAAATAGAAATACTCTTGCTGACACTCTAACTCGTGAATTATGCGGGAAATAACTACATATATTGAAACTATGGAGATATATGACAGCCGGTGAGACCAATGACAAGTCTAATCCAGACTTGAACAATTATTTAAATATTATTGAATTACAAATCTGAAAATTAAAATATGAGATTGCCTATGACAAAACCATTCTAAAAGAATTATTGAAAGTAAAAAATTTTCTGACTGTAGAAATTCAAGATGATGAATTACCTTCAATATCTGAATCACGAAAAATAAGAAATTTTGTAAATCTCATATTTTCAAAAGAAGCATCTTCTCTTACTAATACAAAAGAGATGGCTACCTTTTCAAATATTGAATTACAAGTTTTTTTTGATCATTGTATTACAGAAGAAGTGCAAATGTTTTCAAATAATATGCCTACTTATGTTAATGTATTGCAAAATATATTAATTAGTTCTACGAAGAGCATAACAAAAACAACTGATCAATGACAACAATTATCCCTCTATGAGGAGATAATTAATTTTCAGATTTACTTTCACAAAGTTGGGAAATTCCAAGTCGTTTATATATATGGAAAGGCTAATTCCGATATAATGTTAAGATAAACCCTCAGTAGGAAGTATGATGGACCCGAGTATTTCATAACATATATGAGACAAAAGAGTTGGAAGAATTTGTTAATAATGGAAGATGATATAATACATTAGAAATAGAAATAAGTAAATATAAGAAAATATATCAGAGATATAGAAGAACTAAAATACAAAATAAAATATCACAAGAAACAATTTGAGATATTAAAGAAATAGAAAACAATATCATAACCTTTAATGTGATTATTAACCTTCAAAACTTTATTTACTTTTCATT